CCTGTAGAGAGTTACAAATTTAGACCTTTACACATCAATCAAGTCAAGTTAGCGATCAGGTTTTAGCTCACCTGGGCCGAAGGCTCGAGTGAGTTTTTCTGATCACATTTTGTCCAGCGTCCGTCTGTCTGTAAACTTTGTACATATTCCACTTCTTCTCATGAACCACCAGGCCTATTTCAACCAAACTTGCCACAAAGTATTCTTGGGTAAAGGGGATTGAAGTTTGCTGAAATCAAGGGTCACACACCATACCAAGGGAAGATAATTAAAAACTTAGTGAAAAATTAATTGCATCTTGAAAAATCTTCTAAAAATCTTCTTAAGAACCACTTGCCCAGGAAAGATTAAACTTATATGAAAACATCCTCAGGTAGTCTTAATTCAAATTTATTCAAATCATTACGCCTGGGGATAGGATGGACCATTAACGTTTTAAATTGGAATGAATACATATCGAAAAAATATTTTAAAACTCTTCTTATTAAGAACCACAAAGTAATAGTCATAGCTTCATGGAAGCACCATCACGTAGTGTTGATTTAAGTTTGTTCAATTTTGTTGTAAGTTTGTTCAAGTCATGACAGGGGAATTATAGCGCTGGGTAGGGTGGTCTACAATTGGGAATCAAAGATCTTCCTAGAAGTATCAAGGATTTTCCTCCCAAAAACATGAGCCATGCTACATCATAAGAGCCATGCTACATCATATTGATATGGAGGCATTCTAAGGCACTTATATGTAGTATAGAGTCAAACTTGTTCAAATGAGTATCCCCAGGGGTAGGGCTGGACCACAATGGGGGTCAAATTAATAAATATGAAAAAATTATCTACACAAAAACGGTGCAATCATTTGTTATATTGATATGGAAGCATCGTCAGGTAGTTTTAAATTCCAGTCCCCCCCCCCCCCCACACACACACAACCACTATGTAAACCTCTCAATACTAAGGTGGCTTTTTGCTTTTTTTTTTCCTAGCCATTGGGCTCAGGTGAGCGATGTGGCAAATGGGCTTCTTTTTATTTTGTTAGCATCAAATACGTAGAATTTGGAACCTCAGTGTTTATGGTTTCATCCGAAGGACTGTCCGGCAGTTAAATTCGAACCCATGATGTACATGAAAGTACAGTCCTCTTACTCTGCGAGTCAAGAGCAAACGGTTTTTAACCCTGCACAACGTGTATGATCTTAATCAGGTACCTAGCAGTGAAACAATGTTGCTTAGTCAGTCAGACAACCACCCACCCCCCTAAAAAAATGACTTTTTATCTTTTTTTTAAATGCTCAATATTCTTCTATTTCTACAGAGTGTTTCGGTGCATTTGGAATGGATTGTTCCATACCTTGTGTATATAACTTTTACGGCTACAGATGTAAAGAAACATGCCACTGTACGGAAAATCAAGTTTGCAACAAATATGTAGGATGTCAGAATATTGGTAAGTATTTCATTTCGCAACAAAATATGAAACGCTTTATGTATCTTCAGGATTGTTATTAAAGGCAAATTACCAATCAATGACGCGTTTACAAAACATTGTTGAAATGAAATATATATAAAGATAACAAACAGTAACCAAAGTCAAATTTCCATTAAACAATACAAAATAGGAGCAGAGCAAATACAAACCTCACCTCGTATGTATTTATAATCGACAAACAATTAGTATGAAAACGTCAGTCAGCATTTGAATTCATGATAAATTGTATTTCACGACAGGGTCATTGCATCGAAATGGTGACTATAAATGAAAATGCTAAATCAGATATTTTTGTTTGTCAATGAAGTTTTTCTTCATAAAATTTATATAACTGCCCATAGAGAAGACCTTAGGAAATAAATAATTGAAACATTTTTCGTGATATAATTTCAATGAAAAAAGAGTGCGAAGTGAGAAAATAAGCTTATCAGTATTTATAATACAGTAGTAAAGCATAGAATATTTCACATATAATTTAATTCACAGTTGTCATTGTATCCTACATTGGTAAATTAACCTGGTTTTGTTTTTTATTCTTTGCTTTTGTTGCTTTAAATCTAAAAATACCGATATATAAATTATGTGAAAATACATTATAGTAGTGAATGAAAAAGTTGAACATAATATGTAAGTTTAAAAGAAAGGATTTAGTTTTTCATTGTGTAATACTTGTGCTTTGTGCAACATACCAAATAATGTATTTTTACTGTTTAAATTAAAGTACCTTTTTATCAGAATTAAAATAAGGTTATAACAGGTTCCAAAATTATTACAATTTAAATAATGGGTTTTAAACATTTTTAAATCAATAAGTAGATTTATGTTATAATAATGTGTTTCTGGCGTTATTTATATAAAAGAAAATAAAACAAAGTTAACGTAATTTTAAACGCGTTATTTTGACATTGGTAAGTGTGGTGGTGACATATGTAAAAGCAGCAAAAAGCAATTATTAGCAACAGGCAACATAGAACATGGAAGAATGTACTATTAATAAGCATACTAATGACAGTTCCTATGTGTGCCACGATCGGCAATTGACCTTACAATTGTAAATAATTATATTTTGTGTACTTCAAAGAAACTCTATATGTACATGTATGTAATGTTATCATCCCGGGTTAACCATGAATATTTCTAATTTTTTTAGAAAGAAAAACAGTGGATGGATTTGTTGAAAGAAGCACGCATTTTAAAAAAATATTGGTTTTAAACAAGCAAAGCAGATCACTTCAAAATTTTGTTGAAAGCAGCACACATTTTCACTTTAAATTGTTTTTTCAAAGGCAATTGCTTGATGAATAATGGCACCATTTGAATTTCTCGGCAAAAATGCTACAAAAAAAAAAAAAAAAGAAAACCTAACCTTAATCCTACAGAAAATCATTTCAGATCTCCGTTATCAAATGAATTCTAGAAATTAAGGATATACAAAAATCAACACCATTTCCTTTTATTATTAATATATGTACTAAATAAGTTTTATAACTTCAAGTATACATGTATATTCATCGCCTGCATGGTTCAGTAGCTAGAGTAGGGTATAGAGTCACAAAGTAAGGGTTCATATCCTACTGTGGGACGTGGAGACCGGTCTTTCTGATGAGACCAAATAAACCGATGTCCCGTGTCGCAGTAGTTGCTGGCAAGATAAAAGATCCCTCTCTAGCTGCTTTATTGCCCTCAGTGTCGAGTATAGGACAAAATTTTCATCTCACCAAAGGCGAGAGGTGGCGTCTCCATATGGGTGAAAGATTCTCTAGAGGGACCTTAAACGATATACAATCAATCAATCAGTTGTGAGTTCTTATTATGTTTTTAATTACATTTGTGCCTTGAATCTTGAATTAATTCCAGAGGCAAATATCATGTTTAGTCTAAGAAATCTGTTGACCACAATACTTATAGAAAAGCATGAAAAGTGCCAGTACGAAATATCACCTTGAAAAGATGGCTCTTTCTCTCTATTGAAACAAGATATGCCTTCAGAATTACCTTTAATATGCCCATACTGTCTGTACAGGCAGTAAACTGTTGTCGTGCTTATTTGTACCATAATGGCCCTAAATGCTGAGCATAGGTCTAAGTTAAATCTAAAGCCCTTCACCAGTAACGTCAGAACATGAATAAAAAATTCAAACAAGGCGTTAAATAACATACAATCAATCAATCATATACACCACCAGTGTCCATGATAGTTATCAGTGAACTCCCTTTTTGATTTCACCTAAGAGAATTGTCTTATTTCTCTTTTGGAGGATAAGTTGTCATAATACAATGTTCTTTTAATCCCCATGGAGGTCGAATCCCGCAATAACTAACCTAATTTATTTTGTACATAATCAAATGTTTGGATCGCTAAATAAGAAAAAAAATATATTGATTATAAATTTAATAGAAATTTAGAAATACATGTTAATTTTATGCGGCGGTAATAAAGGAAAAATAAATTGTATTTAGAGATATAAAAGAGTTCACAAAAATATGACTATCAGGGACCTTTTAAGCATATTAACTTATGTAGTATTGCATCATTTGTTAATTTAATATTTAATTTCGAATTCTCAACTTTATTTATTTAATCAAACCCATCGTTTAACGCATACCACGGTATATATGATATATCAATCTTGCATAAGATAACATAAGAGGTGTTATGTATGTAGAAAAGGAATACATGTATCCTGCAAAGCTGATATTATAAAAGACGTTGAACTTGTAGAAAACTAACAATTTGATTTTGATTATATCTCCTTCAAGGTAAGAAATACATTTAATATTGCTTATAGAGGATATTCAATGTTTTGTAGTTGAATATGAAATTTATTTCACGAGTGGGACAGGATTTTTGATATTTTCACGAGTGCGAAGCACGAGTGAAAATATCAAAAAATCCTGTCTCACGAGTGAAATAAATTCCATATTCAACTAATTCAACTACAAAACATTGATTTTTCTGTTTATTACATTTAAAAAAAAAATTCTTTGATTTTTCCTTTTCCTCTGTCTTTTTGTAATACAGTCATGGGCTCGTGACGTCATAGTTGAGCGGTTGAGACGTCATACTCATAGCTTAGTGAGGTGAAAACACTGTAAACATGAATCTGACAACAAATTTTTGGTAATTTTGACAGTTTTATTCGCTGTCAGAATGGTTTATTTATTTCCATATATCTTAATTTAGGTCAAGGAAGATTTTTTTACAGCAATCTTCGCTATGAGAAAGGAAATCGAGAGTTTTCCCGCACTTCTAATATTCGTCACACTGTGACGATATCCTTTCACTCTGTGACAGGATATCATTTTTATTCAATGAATAAATTACAGTATTTCACGGGTTAAAATGTAATAATACTTCCTTCTTTTCATGGTTTTGAGAATAAACCGAGAAACTCGATTTTAATTTCATAAGGAAATATGTTTTAACTCATGATACATAAAACTGATATATAAATTACATTAATTTGTTTATCTTCATAGATGTTTGGTGACTCCATCGTGGATAAATACTTCCTACTATAATCCTCTTGAACATAAAAGGTTGGTACAATATGACTTTTTCATTACGTGAATACAAAGTTTTTAACCTTGATATTTTTTTTTGTGTTATTCAGCTCATTTTTCAGTTTCTTTTAGGTTTTTGAATCAGCAAGAGGGTTTAAAATGTAGAAAAATTTAAATAAGATAATCTCTTCACTTTTTTATTTAAGATGCCATTGGAAAATGTTACTACAAAAAAGGAACAGGCGCAATTGGTATCTACTATTTAAAAAGTATTATTGTGAGAAGTAATATTATCTTTCATACTTTACCTTAATCTTTAAAGTTACATAATGAGTTAAAACCATCTGTTTCTTATAAGATATCTGTGTCATACAACGAAACACTTTTGAAAAGTCTGAGCATAGCGAAGTTCTAAACTGCACTATAGCAAGCAAAGACTGTACAATACAAGTGCCGGAAAAACGAAGGTTGAATCTATCATTTCGTTGATTTTGTGTATGTCAAGGTCACACGACCTTTATGTTTTACTCATACGTGTTAACACCATTAAGCTGGAGCATGCAGATATGAGAAATATATTCTGATGGTTTTTTAAAGATTGTACCCACATTCATTCTAGGTGAATGTAGAATGAAATGTCATTTGGATTGGAGTGTTTAAGTCCATCAAAACCAGGGCATATATTTATACTAGTAATTATATAATAATTTTCAATTCATAGAAATATTTTACAATTGAAGTATCAATGTAAATACACGAAGCACTGTATGATAGTGATAAGAAAAAATTTTAGTTTTGAAAAACATATTTTTCTGCCCTTGTAATTGAAGATTCGGGGTATATACGGTAGTTTTTTTGTCTTGGCTGTCTGTTTGTTTGTCTGTTTTTCCGCAAAAACGATAACATTGCCCATAACTTTAAATTTTGAGAGGGTGAGGATATGGCTTTCATATTTCATAGGTGTATTTCTTGTGACAAGACCTTTCTTGACATCTTGACCTTGGAATTTTAGCAACTTTTACCAAACTTTGGACTTGACAGAACAAAAATCTATGAGACTACATAATAAGACTCAGTTGACATAAAATGAAAGGATCTTTTCCTTATTTTTTCATCAAAAATTCATATTTAGATGGTGTTTGGGTAATTTAACAGGATGTATCATGAAGTATCCGCGCAGTAACGTCCTTGATATCATGGATATTATTAAAAATGTGAGCTTTCATTTTCTCATCATTTTTCCTCGTAATTGACTTCCTTCTTTACTCAGCATAATTCTACACATTATTTTTAGCCAACCTGAAAATCAAACTATAATGGCATTTCTTATTGTTTCGATTCATACAACAACCCCATAGGTATACCTGAAATATCGCATGATTTTGGTCATCTCAATAACTATCTTAATAGTCCATATAAAGTTTTCCTCAAAAATCTTCTTGTCCACTTCCAGATTTATTTACACAAAAAACTAACCGTTTGGAATTCCTCTTTGCTATTTTTACATGTAGATAGATGTCAGGAATATCCCGGCTTACATCATATGAGCCTCGTCGGATAGAAATCGACCTTATCGTATGCAATGTCATAATGAGAAATAAGCGAATAAAGTTGAGAAAGATTTCCCGGTATTTTTACTACACATGTTTTCACGTTAAGGAATGTTTTAGACATTGTCAATTGCAGTTCAAAATTTTTTCTTCAAAAAATCGGATCATTTTAAATATGTACTAATAAAATAAACAAATTTTAAATGTATTCCCCTTCGTAGAGCCTTATTTTTTTATTGTTACCATGGATCAATGTAAACATAATCCAGAGGAATCCCGAGTCCGATCTATACTTTTTTTTTGTCAAATAGCAGAAGACGTAAGTCCATATCTAACACAAGATAAATAATAAGTTGGTAGACATATAGCGAAGAAAAAATGGCATGGTGCATTACTGAGGAAGTACAGAATATATTTTTTGTTGTAGTTTAGAGCATAAATTTTAGCCAGAGGAGACGTTATCTGGCACAGAAAATCGCACATGTACTGAATGCAGTAATAGCCTAGTGTGTCAACTTCATTTACTTATCAAAGTGTGCACATGTATTCAATCATTCACGATCAAATTCGCAATATAATATTAGATATACTTTAATGTTTCATGTCTTTGAATGAATTTACGTGTATTTTCAAATTTATCCCAGAAATTAACCAACCAAATTTTCAAATTTATCACAGCTCAGAAATTAACCAACCAAACAAAACAAAACAAACAGCTATGCATATCGATTCAGTACAAAATGTACAAAGGCCACGATTCAACAACTTTTAAAACGCATTTTTCTCACTACAATATTAAGAGATATCAAGAAACAAGTAATACTGGTATTGTTTAAGGCAATTTCTTCATATATATCAGTAATTCTCAAACGGAAACACGTATTGTCCGAAGCGACTGGATACGATAAATTGTGCAAGTTGCTTCCCTTTGACGCAAAAAGAGGCTCAACAAGGGGAATCATTTCCTTTAAAAAAAAGATGTTTTTTCTCTCTATCTTAACTTTTGTCTCTCTTCCATTACCAGATTTTAAGTTAATTTTCTTAAATATTTCACTCCTTATTTTGCAAGTTTATAAAAAATACCGACGATGGATTATCTATGATCATTAAATTTCTTTAACTTGGCTAGCGATATTGTAATTAAGAAGATGGGCCCGGTTTGTAAAACATATCCTTCTACGTCATTTTAAAGAGTTGTATACCAAAGAAATTACTCTAAAGTCGGATGTAAAAAAAAAAGATAGTTTTGTGAAAGGTGTTCTTAAATATTCAGCATATTAAGTATTTTGAACACCGGTAATACCAAACTTTTCTGCAAAAATCATCTTGAGCAGGATTTCACCTGTTCGTGAATAACAGGAATATGGTTTCGTTTTGTACTAAGACTTTCAATTATAACATCAAAACGTTCTCTACATTATAAAATTCTTCTACAATTCTCTTTTTTTTTAAAGAGGGGGTGGATACCCACAACAGATAACTTAATTATAAATCTAAGTTTTTTTATTTGATTTTTTCTTAGTTACAAAATCATAAAACAAATAATTATGAAATGTCTATTATTTTATAAGTGTTGTGTTGGACTGGGTTAGGAACGGGATAGCAGAATGTTGTCGATGCGTACGCCGCGTGCCTTCTCTCTATAGGAGGGCAAATGTTTGTTGGTTTTTTTTTTTTTTGGGGGGGGGGTTTCAAGTCAGCATACATGTATATAAAGCTACCTCGCTGGCTAAATATGATATAATTTATTCTAGAATCCTACGCACCCAGCTGAATCCGACTATCTAATTCTTAACATTATTTAATATTCTTTTTTTTAATTGGTTTAACGGCATTTCCTAATAAAATATTTATTTAGACATTCTCAATACAGTCTATACTTAATCAATTCTCTTTTTAACATTTAGTTCGTTTGCAGTTAATTGAATTGTAAAAGAAAGAAAATCTTCTGTCACATGGTTTTATATCGTAATTCAACATAACTTGTGTTTTTCTTTTTCTTTCCCTCAATGCATTTCTAATACTCCAGGTAACAAAGAAATTATAATTTTTGCATTTCTGAAATTCATATTGATATCCCTTCATTTTTTCTGTAGATAAAAATATTTTGTAAACGTTATGTAAAATCTCTTTGTCAAATGCATTAGATGTTGCGTTACAAATAAACTATCATCGTCGGAAATCCACGAGTGATCTCGTCTTTACTGATCACCCGGTGATGAGTAAAGATGAGATCATCCCTGGGTATCCGATGATGATAAACTATATGCTATAAAGAACAAAAGAAAAAAAATGAAAAATCATCTTCCAAAAATAATGCATGCATACTTATAGAGTCGAGAATTTCAGCCAATGTGTATACAATTATGTTTCCCGTGACTTTCCGCTACATGTAACTATAAATCTTATTCTTCTAAAATTAGGTGGGGTCTCTCACATACGAAGTTAATTAAAAATGTACGAACGATGCATGATTATTATTTTACAATGAATTTTAGATTATTTTCATCAAATTGATTTTTAAAGTAAATTTTTGTACATATGTATTTTGTTGATGAACACAGAGAGAAATCTTTTTCTACGGTTAACATATTTTTGAAATATAGTCCGCCGGATGGAAAGTTAATTAGTTCCCTATATTAAGGTTATCAACTACATCTATTTTGCATGCAACAGATGAAAATTTCCCGCCGATAATTGCTGAAATCTTGCCGACTCGGCAGTAAGCAAAATTCAATCAATCAATAAATTCTACATGCATATTTACCTATTTATTTTTCTACATTATGGATAATAGACATATGCATTTGATGAAGAGACGGTTGGGTTTTTACTAGGAGGGGGGGGTAATAATGTAAAGCAAAGTGGCAATTTTTTGTCGAGCTATCCGTCCATTTACAACGAAACGAGAATGGTGTGGAGGAAAAGAGGGTGTATATATATGAACTAGCTATTTGAAGGTGAATGTGGCTGCAGTAGAAACGGTTTTAGGGGGGAAAATCTTAATAAAATGAGCTTACTTTTAGACACAGAGCTAGTGTCACACCATGTTCGATTTCACGTAACCACGATGTATATACAGATGGATATAATTTTTTTTAATTTAACTTAAGAATAATTATTGTAGCATGATTTAAGTTGTGATTTTATTGGCTGCATGGTTCATGCATCTTCTGTAAGAAACTAGGTATTTCTGAGATCGAATTCGAATCCCTGTAAATTTTGACTGGTTCCCTTTTCCTTTATATGGTGATTGCGTAAAATCAAACATAGTGTGTTAACTAACTTGCATGCTTTGAGGATACAGGCTTTATCAAACGTAAAAGTAGCATGGTGTAGATCTATATTTTGTTCATTTGAAGTTAAGTTATTCATAGAGACAAAGCTGTCGGTACATGTACGATAGACAGAAAAGTAGACATTAAAGATCTTGGGGGGGGGGGGGGTGTTGAGTATTCGCTTTTTAAAGGATTTAAAATACAGTTAACACAGTTTTTGGGATTGTACATCATGATAATCTGTTTTTGTCATTTCTTAGGCAATTCTTTTTCAATTCTTAGACATGGTGACCGCTTGGATTGCTACGCGTTGACAGGTACCCCTACCGAGCAACTGAGAATAAACCATGACGTCACAATTGAATCGTGAAAAAAACACGATATGCTCAGAGTTATTTTTGCAAACATACCAATTTCAAAATGTAATAACTTTGTTATAAATGAAGATATTTTGATTCCGTTTTCAGTTTTTTTAATGGTTTTACATGGACCATTAAAAAACATAAAAATCTCAAAATCGATAAATTTTGCCATAAGGTCGATTTCTATCCGACGAGGCTCATATTTCATTTAAGCACATTTGGGGTCTAATGTTTTTTGTCCATTACACATATTTGATTAAATTTCGTTGTTTCTTCAATTCACAAAACGAAATTTTTCCACTGTTTCCACAGTAATTGCATCGGAGAAAAAATCTGTATATTTCTGTTTGTATTCATAAATTACCTCAGAAATCTAATAAAAGACAATAAAAAATTTATCTTTGAAAAGATTTCTATAATAAAATGGTATATTATAGTTATGGAATTGAAGTTTTTTTTCCAAAGTTTTTGTCGTGCTCCGTGCATTACCATTAGCGAAAAAAGGACAAATAATAATAAAAAAGAATGGATATAACGAACAATATTCAAGATAAAAGTCCATTATAAAAAATATATATATAATAATAGCAGAGCAAACACGGACCTCCAAACATCAGAGGTGGGATTAGGTGCCATGGAGGAGTGAGTATACCGTACCGACCGGTCACACCCGTCGTGTGCTCCTTGTCATGATTGGGAAATAACGGAAAACTCCGTCGTCAACTCAGTGTATAAATAATGGACTAACAATTCGTATAAAAAACGTCAGTCAGTATTTGACTCAATGATAAATGGTATTTAGTGACAAGGTCTCCGGTTCTTATATCGTAAAAGAGAGCAAATGATTATTGTTAATAAGGATGTGCAATTATCTAGGCCAAACACGTATTATATTAATTATTTTTAATACTGTAAAAATGTAAAAAAAAAAAATAAAATAAATAAATAAATAAAATAAAATAAAATAAAATAAAAAAAAAACGTTTAAAGCTTCTTGGGGGCAACCCTCGTGTGAATTATATTTTTAAAAGTTGCCTAGTTTTGAAGTACATAGTTTTAATGATACATTGACTCTTCAGATATCGCCTTAATTTCATGCTTTAGGTATTTGTAGTAGCTTTACAGAAAATAAGACTATGAAGGCAAGAAATGGGTTCTTTCATGTAGAATAATTAATAGTCATGGTGTATTTCATATTCTTAGAGGACAATATGTAATTGCACGTAGCACATTGAACATTCAGTTCAATTGCACAGCGGTGCAGATCTAAGAGCGTTCTGTCTGTTGTTCTTCTTAATATTTGGGATTCTATTTCCCTTCGAACTGGTCCTTCGATTGAAACCATAAAAATTGCGTCCCTTATGCAGTATACATGGTTTTGAAAACGATCCCTCACTGCTCAATTAATTCTTTATTCTCATTTTTTTTTATTCAATGAATATCTTAGCGTTTAATTAAATTTTGATAAAGTTTCATTTACATGTAACATTAAAAAATTAGAAAAGATATTTTTTACTCGGAATAGAATCTTGGCCTCATAGTTTTCTATGAAGAATATAATTAAATTATTTCCTGACTTTCTAATGAAAACACTATTTTGATAGTCAAGCGGGATAAACATTGAATTCTTAACAATACATTCGATCAATAAGATCTTGTCGGATCATAACGAATGTACAGAACTTATAGGCATTTGAAGGACCGAATTAAAACAAATATTGGGGGTATCATTTAGTGAGCTGAATGCTAAGAGTACCTCTAGTTTTACTTTCATTTTGTTGCCAAAAAGGGGTTTGTTTCATTTTAAAGGGCTTCATCAACTTTAAAGAAATTTAAAAAAAATTCAACTCAACGGTTAAACATCTAACTAGATTTTTAGGAGAGCCAGGAATTATTTTTATCCCTTAAATTAAACTACTGAATTAATTTTTAAAAAATTCAGCCCATTTACTTAATTAATGTTGTAGAATCGTGTACTCAAATTTTGCATTTGCACTATTTTTAAAAAAAAAAAAAGGAAAAAAAAAGAAGTAAAACAAACTTTTCATTACAGTAAGATTTAAGTTTCCTTTTTTTTTTGAAAAAGGTATTTAAAAAAAAATACTAGTACCCAATTGCAATTTGCAATCTTCCGATACCGTGCGAAAAAGGACATTGTATCCAGCCTTCAAATAAAACTACAGAAGCGTATGTGCCATGTTGACACTTTTCATTTTTTTTTTATTTTTACACTTCAATCTTTAAAATGTACACTTTAATTTGTAAATTTTACAATTTAATGTTACATTTTAATCTGTATATTTTACACTTTAATATGTACATTTTCGCATTGAAGTGTAAAATGTACAGATTAAAGTGTAAAGGGTACAGTGTAATGTATAGAAAAAAAAATGTGTCAAACTAGCATTGATACGCTTCGGTATCAAACTTAACAATTTACCAGTTGACCATGAAAGAAAAAACAAATATGATACAGCTGTACCATTCTTCTGTCACATAAACAGTATGAACAATTTTTGGGGAATTTAAAAATGATATTAATGTTTTTTTTCAATCACGTTATTAAAAGAAAATCTATATTTTTTAAAGTAAAAAATTGGAAACATCGGTGATTTTGACATTTCTTCTTTGTTTTGCTTATACTGTAAAACGAGAAAATTTGGCGCGTATGTATTTTAGCGCAAACGCAAGTGGGAACGCATTGGCGAAAATATATTTTATTAGCGCTTGCACTTGTCGGTAAAATATATAAATGTGATATTTTGTTTTTTTAATCCACACCCGTATTTGACTTTTTGGTTTGTCAAGCACGGAAACACATTAGTACTCCCGTACATCAGTAAACGTTCGTTAACTTTACCTCGGTACGTGTTGCTATCACATGGACGTGGTACAATGTAAAAAAATATTTTATTTCTATTTTCAATTAAACAAATGTAGTATTTACTCATTTAAATCATATAAAAACAATGCATGCATCGACAGAAAATTACTTAGATAAAACGGTCATCCTAATCAGGTATTGTCTACAGGGTGACAATAGTTTTATTAAATTATAAATTGGCAGAACTTTCTGTATTCCGAACATGTGCAGTGCTAGTATGTATATAAAATCCATTGACCCTTCGACATTACGTAATCGAGCGTTCCGGTTTATATGTACTTATGTACAAGCTTTGAACAAACACACTAAAAAATTATTTTTTAGAAATCCTTTAGCTCACAATAAATTTTAGCGTTCAAGGGTTCTTGTGCCAAAAACACTAAAATTAATAATGCACCAAATGTTCTCGTTTTACAGTATTTACCTCGCTGATTAATGTGTAAAAAAATGGCTTCAACACCTAAAGTTTCAATCGTCTTTTAATTAAGGCATGATTAGAAAAAGTCGGCCAATTCCATTTGGGTATCAATGTTACTCATCTTTAAACATGCTGGTAAACAATGACACTAGTTTAAATCTATGTATTGCAAAAAAAAACTTAATAAAATTTCTTTTGGGATTAATTAATTTTGAATTTTATGATTATATCTTGATTTAAAAATGTTTGTTTATATACATGTATTTACTAAAGATACACGTGGAATCAACAGAAACTTTATTAATTTAAAGGACGACCGACCCAGGAGTGGTTATAGGCGTTGTTTTGGGACTGGAAGTTGTCGTCGCTGTAATTGTGGGTATTTGCATCTACAGAAGACGCGTGCAGCGAAATGGAGAATGTTCCTTCTTAGTTCAGAAGTCATAATGTACTCGTACAAATCACGGGGGGAAATTTTTAATTGTTAGAAAGATTTCTTTTGATTGTCTATACCTCTTGCTTTACGGGGTCTTGATTTGTGATATTTACAGATGGAAAAGAGAGCATAAGGAAGCTCACAAATATTTAATCCAACAGTTGTTTTTTTTATATCTAATCATAAAAGAACTTTATATAATGAGTACAGATAGCATTGTTCAAGTCACTTGTTAAATTGTTCTATAAAAGGAAATATTTTATTTTTATCAAAATAATACATCTTCCTAATTTTTAAAATTAAAATCATCGGTATATACTTCTACCTCTGTTGTATGTTCAAATATACGATTTATAAGCACGGGAAATAAGACATTTGGTTTAATTCTTTAAATCAAATGTTTGTGCTTTTCTGTCCTTTTAAAGATATATTTACTGAAAAGACCAAAAAGTTTCATTTTAATTTTGAATATATCATAACTTTTACTGCATGTCAAAAATCTTGTCGCAATTCATGAACTCAATTCGAAATGAACGACAATTTCCCAATGAAATTGATCATCGAAGTATAGTTATTAAACATATTAATTTATCAAATATAACAGAAAAAACATTGTTGGATTTCATTCATAAAAAAAGACACAACAAGGCTCGCACATGTTTTGTGGCCCTGTAAACATATAACAAATTAAATCGCGAGACTTCACTTAAACGTGTTCGAAAAAGTGTTTGTCAAAATGTCTAATTGACTACCAGTGTGAAAACACCAAAAAAAAAAAATGAAGGGAAAAAAAAATAAAAGGTAGCATTTTTTTTATTCATAGCAAAAGGGCAGATACCTGAGTAAATGGTTTAAATTCCAGTTCAATTTAAAAAAAGTTCTTTTACGAACTACATACTTCAACACCTTCGTGAGCTAGTCCACCGATGTTAACGTTTTATCAGCAGTTTCTTTTGTTAGAAAGATTTAAAGAAGCCTTTTTCATAAATTTTAATGTAAAGGCAAAAACAAAACAAAAAAAAAAAAAACAAAAAAAAAATAAAAACAGTAACAACAAAAACAAAATAATAAACATCTAAAACGCTAGAAAAGAACAAACAAGGAATAAAAACAATCTCATAATTACTTACAGATATTCTTCGTATAAAGAAAAAATACATTTAGTCAGATAACATATGCATCTTAACGGAATTAAACAACTTTATTATTATATATTTACATTCATATTTTCATTCAGACTAATTTTATTAATGAAATCCATAAGAAATAGAAATCCACGATGTTCAAATCTCTATAACACACGTGAAACCTAGTCACCACGCTTTAGAATACACAAAAGGAACTATATGCATTTTCAATACTCTTCGAGCATGAACACCAAAATGTACAATGATTTGACTCAATCTCATAAAAAAAAAACCACAGCATTATTCTCTCAAATTAACGTAAAAGTACAACAAATGAGCATTTAAAAATAATTTGTAATTTGTTTTCATCACAATGTTCGTTTTCTTTATTTAACTTTGCAACGTCAAAAACGGCTCTTACTTGTATTAAGCGACCGGTTTTGAAGGGCGCTTACATGTAGTTCACATTAAAAATTAACGAAATAAACAATTACGAAGAGGGAAAAGTAGAGAACGTAAATATAGTATTGTATTTATTTTTTTGGATGTTGTCGGTCCTATAATACCTGGCCGTGCCGACAGATTGAATACCGCGCGTTAGCATCACTTTATTATTTATGAGTGCTTGTACGACTTGATATTTTAGCTGTCGCCGTTTACGGAAATACGGACTACTATTTCAAAGTTCATCAACCATAGATAATCATGATGTAAGGAAAATATTGTTGATCTCAAATATGGTTTAAAGAAACGCGAATTAAAGTCAAAGATATGTGGCTTATTTTATTTCAAATTGGTCAGCAAATACATCTAAAAATTAGGCAAAATATGGTAAAGGGTATTGGAGTATTTGGATATAATTACAAGTTTATACTCATATATTTCAGTTCTCTTATCTATGTTTTCGTTACGTTGAAAGCCTTTTTTATCAATATTAAATATCAAAGTAACTTATGACTTCATTTCGAAACTTCTATTGTTGATACAATGACCTTGTCAGAATATACACTTTATCATTGAGTCGAATGCTGACTGATGTTTTTCATACCAATTGTTAGTCCATTATTTATACACTGATTTGACGACAGATTTTTACGTTATTTCACGATCATCATAATGAGCACACGCTGGGTGTGACCTGTCAGCAGGGGATGCTCACTCCTCCATGGCACCTGCTCCCACCTCTGATGTTTTGGAGGTCCATGTTTGCTCTGCTCCTATTTTGTATTGTTTTATAGATATTGAATACTGTTCGTTAACTCCATATCCTTTTTCATATCTTGCTAACACCATTTGTAATTAATTATAGGACAATAATGCTAAAAATGTATTTATTTTTTGTATATTTCTGATTGAAATGGCAACTTTTTTTTACACAAATGTGAGGAAAAGGAACTGATTTTGCTTCGTATATCAGCATACGTATAAGCAAATTAAGCATCAGTATCCATCTAGTCTAAGAAGTATTAATAAGCTTTAAATTCAAACAAAGAAACCTGGGAATAACACACTTGTTGGAGATGTCTTGAATTTATCAAAAGTGCAGTTTAAACGTTAAAGATGCAAAAAACAAAACAAAACTGATAACACAAACATTAAGTAATCAGCAAATTTAAATGAAGCTGAAAACTGAAAATGTTGTGTGAATAATAGCGTTTTGTTAAATCTATCAATAATTCCCAGTGTTGCAGCGCTCCAAAATTTCCAATGTATACGGTTTAAAACGACAAAGAGCAAGAGCCATCTTATGCATAAATTGGCCCTGTACTTATATCAAATAATGAACTATCACCCTCTTTCCCATTTTATATGTCAAAATAAAGTAGACACTTGGTGCTTTCATTTTCTGTAATAAAATTTCGTTTTGAGAATTCAGATATTGGAAAACAGGTTCGAGAAATTGCAATGTTCTTGAAATTTGCTGAAAACATGCGTATTTGACTACCTTCAGCAAAGAATTAAAATATGAGCACAGCCCACGATCCAAAAATTAAAACATGTTTTTTGATCTTCAGAAACAGAGCTTTTATTATGTATTTGCATATTTTGGATCAGAGGTTGTGCTCTATATGAAATATTGAAAAAATGCTTCAACGTTAGTCCATTTTCAAAGGAATTTACACTATTTGAGGAAAATGACGCATTTTATGACGTCATAATGCATTGAGTAGATGGAAAATTACGTCACAATTAATAGATATGTGGTCACCAACACTCCAAGTGATAAATGTTGCATTTGCAACCTAAACTGAGCGGTTTTGATTTTTCGGAAATTCTCAGGGCCTAATAAGGCCCAACGTGGCTCTACCTCTTTCAAGTTTATTTCTTTTCCTCAAAACTTATGTTCAATCTAAAGTATATAATGAATAACAGAATAAACAATAAATCAGTCAAAGTTCAAGCTGATTACATGTACAAAGAATATGTATATTAAGTTAAACATGTTATGAGTTTTATTAAAACGCAGATTGATATCCATAGTCTGTTAACTAAAGAAATGACTGATTTTACTATCCATTGTATTAAACTGAATTTGATCAAAGTGTTATTCATTATGTTAACATATTCTTTTACAAATAATTTTTTTCTTGCTGTTACAGTAGTATCTAAACAAATCATGAATATCTGTTATACTGTATACCATAAAAAAAGAGGAAAATACAAACACAATATTCACAATAATCGTCGTTGCTGTTGTTGCAGGATTACCGGCACTTATATCTCAAATGAAAGTAAAGGATAACTTTTAAGAAACATCTAGGAGTTCTGTAATTATAATTAAAATGTAAATATTTTATATACAATTCAACGTTAATAAATATAGCGATGTAAGCAAAAAAAATAAATTGTATTGACCAAAGCAGGTTCAAAATCTTGATTTTAAACTACTGTATACAGGGTTATTTTCGCCCCATTTTCTTTTCGCCCTTTCACACTAGCGGACAATTTTGCCCAGTTTTAAATTCGCCCTGTCAAAGTTTTAATTTAGTAATTATACTGTATCATATAAATTCGTCCAGTTTTAAATTCGCCCGAATGAAACTAGGGCGAAAGGGGCGAAAATTCAACGGGGGCTTAAATTTCCCTGTATACAGTATTTAAATACTTTTCAAGAAAATTGCTTTATTCTCAATTTAAAAATCGAAAACAGAAATTGCTATCATGTAATAGGGAAATGATCGTAAAACAAAAAAAAAATTATCAGGCATATTTCGGTGACATTTCATCAGAAATGAAACATTTATTAAATTGAAAAAAGAATTCACATAGTCTAGAATGGAAAGAGAAAAGAGAAACTTATTTTTTGATTTTGACAAGTTTCCGAAAATCCGAAAATCTCCTCCGCAAAAGACTGCACGCTCAAACCCCTACCAACGAAATTCATTTTTTCCTCAAAATATAACACAGGATCTGAAATTAAAGATTTTGGGCATAATTGGGCACTAAAGACCAACTGCTCCATACATCTGGATATGTCAGACAATGCACAAATGGGAGATCTGTCATGCGTTTTTTGTTTATTTAAGGTCTGCATGCGAAGCCGTCTGTGAAATATCTGCGGATATGTAAGGTTTATATTAGAATTATGATGACAAAATTTTAAAACGTTTCATCGAGCATTTAATATTTTAACGCAAATTTTATTACAGAGGAAGATGCTAAAAAATTACCTAATAATCCATTCCTGGTTGTCTTTCTTGGATTGCTTGTTACATACAGGTATAACCGATCTTCACGCACAGGAGACCGAGATGATTTTTTTTTAGTTACCACCTTCATTTTGAATTTGATAATTTAACTTTTATTCAGGAATTCCGAGACAGCTGGTTATACTTTTTTATAAGTTCATGAATCTCCCAGGTCAAGGTCAAAAGGTTAAAGGTGTCGGTATCCAATGAAAGGTCTTGCATCAAATAATTGATATTTGAATTATGAAATTCCTAGTATCTACCGTTTGAAAATTATAGCTAAGGTAAAAGTTTGGATTTTTTGTGTAAAAATGGGTCAAACTCAAAGGGTCAAAGTTCTTAATATTCAGTAAAAGGGACTCCTCTCAAGGATTAGATGTGAAGTATTAAAGCCCAAGCTCTTACCGTTCAAGAGCTATGGCAAAGGTTAAAGTTTTCAGTAAGTACGGAAATCTCCAAGTTTAAGGTCAAAGCTGTTGGTATCCAATAATAAAAAGGTCTTGCCACAAGGAATACATATGTGAATTATGAAAGTGCTAGTATCTACTATTCATGACCAATGTAAAAGTTTGATTTTTTGTGTAAAAATTGGCCAACTCCAATGTCAAGGTCAAAAGGTCAAATTTCATGGTTACCAAAGAAAGGTCTTGTCACAAGGAATAAACATGTAAAATATGAAAGTCATAGCTCTACTAAATCAAAAGTTCTGGGCAAGGTTAAAGATTTGCGGACAGACTGAGAGACAGACACGAAAAAAAACTATATACCCCAAATCTTTGATACCAGGGGCATAAAAATGTATAACAATAGCAAAAATACGCCTTTTGTATTTAATGTCTTTAAAGGTACATGTATTTGAATTGTGTTTTGAAATCTCTGAAACATCAGCTCATGACTAAATGTGTAGTCCTTCACCAATAAATGGTGACGTCTGTACATTGATGAAAAACACTCGAACGAACCATCAAACAACAAACAATCAATCAACCTTATACATAGTCAAACTCCATGACGGTTTTCGGTAAACTCCCAGTCGATATCAAGAAAGTAAATGTTTTCAATATTCATTTTGAGAATAAGTTGTCATAATTCGACATTCCTTTCGTCCAAGAGGATGTGTGATCCAGGAATAACTATATGCTTCATTTTAAATTTCACTAACATAGTTAAATGCTGTACTGCTAAATGGATAAATTTTGATTTCTTTCAATTACGAAAAAAAATTTCTTCGTTAAAAATATTTCAAGCAGAGACAATGAAAAATACGTCCGACAGATGCCTAGTTGAATAGTTGATGTATCATTGCATTTTTCAATTTGATATTTTGTCTCTAATTATAATTCTCAACCGTTATTTACTTAACAAAATCAATTGTTAAGCGCATTATTATTAGTATATTGATAAAGATTCCATTTGAAATAACACTCTTACATGAGATAATGTAAGAGATATTATTTAAACAAAAGAAGGGTTTCCGGGTCAGTAGGTTATAGCTTTAAAAAGACTTTGAACTTGAAGATAATGGACATTTTTATTTAAATTGTCTTTGCAGCAAGGTAAGATATATCTTTCTATTCTTTATTGTGATCGCTTACACAATTTTTTTTCACATTACCACTGTATTATCGCTGGTCATTTCATTTTGTCATTTTCGTGTGAAGGAAATTCCAATGTTAATGACAAAGTTTGATCCTTTTATACTTTCCCATCGTGTTTTCATCCTCCATTGAGGCAATATTTTTATAAAAGGTATCAATGATATCATGTTTAGTTGATCTGTAAGTTTCTTAAGCTGCAGAAAATTGGGATAAAATACTGTATATTTGCTGCTTTTCATATTCTATCATTATACATGTAAGTTGCTTTATGAGAAAATCGGTAAAGATTTCAGGAGGAAGTGATTTTTTTACCCATGATATATGCAGTTTGTGAGAGATAAAGTACTTTATGTATCTTTATAGATGTTTACAGACCGCTTCGTGAAAGCCAGCATTCTTCTGATAGTAACTGCCATATTTTTATTCATAAAAGGTTAGTATATAACTGTGTAGATTACACAAACTCAAGTCATAAGTGGCATTTTGCGTGATGAAAACAACTCATAAAAACAAATATGATTTTCTTTAAGGACCCTCTATACACTGCACACTAAAGAGTTCTGATTCCGTGATATTGTTCTGCAGCTAGACTGATCTACCCTTAGAAATACTAAAAGAAAAAATAGAAATTTACAATATATTACACAATTTGTTATCAATTCAAGTATTCTCAACATTTTAAAAGGCCAAGGTAAATTAAGTGAACGTGTATTTACTCTGTGGAAATAAAAAAACTGATTTCAATTCACTGATACTGTGTTGTGTTTGACTTATTTTCTTGGAGGTAAATGCCACGTACCATATAGTCAAAATAAAATAAATTAGTTCATTACAATATTAAAACCTTTTTAGCATATAGTTGTCTCGATGTCCAAAAACAATTAGCACTTGTATAGAGAGGGCCCTTTTATCTCACACGTTTTGGTGATACAGGCCGTTGGATAAAGTTATGCTTTATCAGTGGGTAGATGCTTTATCAATAGCACTTCCGGTTTTGACACGATCCCCCGCTTCAAGATTTTATTTTATTGAAACTTTTATTTGTGAGAATTGTTGCCCAAAAAAAATGAATGATAAAGGGCAATAATATCGTTTAAAACAAGAAAAAAGACTGGTATATGTCAAAGAAGTGTCTTATTTTATCAAGGAATTGGCTACTTCTGTTACCTCCTCCTCCCCCCCCCCCCCTTAAACCGTTTTCGGAGAAAGAAAAGCCTACCAGTTAAGTTGTTGTAATGACTCCTTTGACATCTTCAACAATACTTTCTTATATTATACTAAGTATGCCTACCTAGTTATGTAGTTGTAACTTACCATGTATCAGCAATGAATCTAGAAAACTATAGGCCCCTAGCCTTGCCTAACACGTTTTGTACTGCCATCGTAAAAAGTGTTGATTTTCACAATCCCCATATTCCTAACAACTTTCAGTCAGAAGTTCATTTGATGTAAAACTCCAGCAATTATCACATGATGTTTTCAAAGACCCAGATAGCAAAAATTCTAAATTTTGAACAGATCTACTTTCTTTCGAGGAATGTCAACATCAACGGTGCTACGTCATCAAGTTATACGTCATCAATTTGAATTAGCAATCATTCATGTAGTTTTGAAGGGAAAGTCTCAAAGTTCTGTTAAAACGAAAGTCGTATGAGATAAATAGAACTTCAATAATTGTGTGATTTGATACTGGCTTTATCCAACTCGTTGAAATGGTGTATATTCGCTCGGCAAGCCTCGCAAATATATACACCATTTCAACTCGTTAGATAAAGCCAATATCAAATCACACAATATAGATATCCTCTATAAATCAATAAGATATGACAAAAACGAATAGTATTCAAGCTCAAAGTCCATGGAGACAAACGAATTGGGGAGCAGAACAAACACTGACCTCTAAAACATCGGAGGAGCGATCAAGCGCAGTGGAGGAGTAACCATTCCCTGTCGACCGGTCACACCCATCAGGAGTTCGTTGAGATCGGAAAAATGGAAAAATCCGTAAAAAATTCAGTATATAGATAATGTTCTTACAACTGGTGTGAAAAATATCTGTCAGCATTCGCTTGCTGACATAAACATGAATGTATTAATTGACCTTAAAACATGCAGAATGATGTTTTAAAAAAAAATCTGCTGATATTTTCGTTTCTCAATTTTCAATTTGTTTCTCAATAGCTTTCTTCTTTCACGAAATTTTTTCATACGTGTAACATGTTTTTGCGTATTGAATTAACTTCGAGACATCAATTCACATACGCAGGTGATAAGATATATTGCTACACAAGTACTGAAATTTAAGGATAGAAAATTTGAAATCATCAGGCTTATAATATATTTTTGTGGCTAGATTACCAATAACGTCTGTTAAATATGTCAGACTCAGCTGTGGCATCTTTTGATGTTGTTTATTTATAATGCTTCGTCAATACATCTAACTGTTTTGCTTGTTGTATCTTTCTCTCTATAAATATTTCCGTTTTTGAATTTAGGTTCAGATGGACGATGTTACTACAAGAATGGAACAGATGCATATGGTTTCTACTATCAAAAGTACTATTGCGAGGAGTAAGTACATCTGTCATACTTTTAAACAGCTACATGTATTTACCTTATGATACACGTGGATTTAACGTACAGTGTTTATATTTTTAGGACTCTCAATGTAGGAGTAATTATAGGTGTTGTAGTTGCAGTCGTCGTTGTCGTCGGTGTAATTGTTGGAATTTTCATCTACAGACGACGCATGCAGCAAACTGGAGAAAATTCTTTCTTAGTTCGGAAATCATAGATACATGTAACAATTATCACGGGAAAATGCCATATTTTAAAGAATGCATGAACTTTACATTTTTTATACTTCTTGCTTCAGGAACTCATTATTTGTGATATAAGTATATGTATGAGGATTCATAAAGATATGAATCCAAGTGACTCTTCACTATTTCTTTACTTTTTATGTAAAAAGTATATGTACATGTATATGTAATAAAATAAGTGAACTGAGAACAACTTAAACTGTTCAAGTCTATTCGATCATTTGGTATGGTAGAACATTCGTTTCTTTATTTTTGTTAATAATAATTCATTATGATATCTTCCTCATTTTCAAATCCGATATTCTCGGCCACTCTCACTCATTAGCTAATGCATTCATCTTTGTCGATGGCTTGTATATTATTAACGTTAAGGTCAAGATCTACTAAATGACTTTAGACTAACTTTTTAGATCAATTATGACGTCATAATCAATTTCAACTTTCTTTTTCCCGTACTTTACGACTTTAGCAGAATTATGAAAAAAGGGGTATTTTCATGACATTCAATTTGAAATCATATGAAAAGTTAATCGGATACCTATATTATATTTGATAATGATATAAAGAAGAGGCCACAAACATACTAATTACCGTTTTCTGAGAGACTGTAGGCAATCTGGATACATTTCCTTTGTCGAATATGAAAAAAAACCTCTCATATTCATGACTAGTTTTCTTAATTTTTCATTGAAAATGATAGTTTAAAATACAGTTTTTAATCTTGTTTACCTACAAATTATGCCACGAAACACCTTACCTGACCAAGCTAAAGTTGTTAAGCATCAAGGAATGAATTTATTTCTCAAT